GACATGGGAGGAAGAATGGGAGTATACCCACAAATACATAAAGGTTTGAAAGGATATTTGTATATGTGTATTTACCATTCAAATCCAACTATGAATCTGGTGGAGCATACAGTGGGCAAAATGATGAAAACGTCTCAGATATTATTAAATCTCTTAAGATAATGAGTTGTGGGCCTGAGGCAATGAGTCTCAGAGGGCATCATGATCAATTGGCATAACATAGTCCCCAAAGACAATGTTCTGCATCCTGCTTTGGTGAGTAGTGACTTCAATCTTTAAAGCTCATGAGTAGTTATAGAATCAGTAGGTAGAATAGTAGGTAGAATAACGTAGTTACAAATCAGGTTGCTAACCTCAAGGTCAGCAGTTTGAAACTACCAGCTTTTCTGCAGGGGAAAGATGAGGCTTTCTGCTCCCATAAAGATTCACAGCCTCAGAAACCCTGTACAGGGTCACTATGAGTCAGAACCAACTCCACAGCACACCACCACTACCACCCATGTGGAAGGAAGAACGTGATGAGAATTGAAGATGTTTGGAATCAGTTAGTCCAATGGACTCACAGCATATGTAGACATCAGTCTCCATGACTCTGAGATTAAAAGCACTAGATAGCACCCAGCTGCCACTACCAATTGCCTTGAAAGGGATCACATTAGAAGGTCTCAGATAGAGAGGGAAAAAATGTGGAACAAAATTCAAAATTATAATAACTACTGGGCTTACTGGTCAGAAAGAGACTAGAGGATTCTGAGACTATGGCCCTCAACCACTCTTCAGGTCTGGCAAGAAATTCAACCTCATGGACAATTTCTGTCAAGCACTAGAAATGTATGTATGGGGGGAAGAAGGGAGAACAAAAACATTAGTAAGATATGCTCAACATGGATTGGTCAATCATTCAAAATCTGAAGGGCAACATTTACGTAATGACCAAGTTGAGAAGGTATAGGGTGGAATGGGAATAGAAACACAGGGAGGAAGCCGGATAACTACTGTTGTATGGAGGGGAATGCAGTTATGGAGATGAAGCAAAGTGTATGATCTGTTGTCTGTAAAACCGATGATATTGTATGTAAACCTTCACTTAATTCACAATAAAAACTTTTAAAAGTACATTAGAAAAAAGGCATCCAAGACAAAACAAGAGTCTAATAATAAGTCTATTAAGTAAAACAGACAAGACATGATATTCCAAATTTACTTCTATGTAATCTTTGATTAGGCTATGACTGATATAATTTTATATATTACATAGGATTGCTACGAGTTGGAATTGACTTCAATAGCTGTAAGAGATGAGAACAGAAAGAAGTCAAAATAATACAGTCAAATTCTAATTATCTTACAAATACCATCCATCATCACACACCCAGATATTATCTTAAATAAAATGTTTCCTGTTAAGAGCATTTTCAGTCATTATGACCAGGAAGTGTTTCATTATGTTGTTGATAGGGTCACAATGAATAAGAACCAACTGGATAGTACCTAACAACAACCTAACCAAAATGCTGTGCCTTACCACTTTGTAAAGACATCAAGTCTCTGTTATTTTTCAATTTATAAAATTACCAAATATTCATTTTAGAATATTTCAGCATAGAATATAATAATAGCTAAATGACTCTATATTAATAAAATTTGATCTTGTCAATGAAAATACAAACCTGGTTTCTCATTACCAAAATTAAAAGCACTGTAGAGAAGCATCGGTGGCACTGTGGTGTAAACACTGGACTGTGAACGCACTAGCCCTCCATGGGAGCGAGATGAGGCTTTTTGCCTCCTTAAAGATTTGTTGTTGTTAAATGCATTCAAGTCAGTTCAGACTCATAGTGACCCTGTATAGGGTTTCCGAGGAACGGCTGGTGAACTTGAACCGCTGACCTTGCTGTTCAAACTGATTTTTCAGGACCTTGTGGTTCAAACCCACTTGCAGTCCAACGCATTAACCCACAGCTTCACATCAGGACTTGAGTCTTGGAAACGCTATACAGGTCACTATGAGTTGGAATTGACTCGATGGCATTGGGTTGTTATTTTTTATTATTCCGTGGAGTAGCTTCCAACTGATACTGACCTTAGAGGACAGAATAGAACTGCCCTACAGGATTTCTAAAACTGTAAATAAGTATTTATGGAAGTCGACTGCCGTTTTTATCTCCCATGGAGTTGGTAGATTAGAACCACTAACTTTCTGCTTAGCAGCTGAGCACTGTGCCACCAGGTCTACTTGAGTCCTCATTGTTGCTGTTAAGTGCCGTCAAGTCGTTCTGACTCATAGCGACCTTGTATAGGATTGCCAAAGAGCCTCTGGTGAGTTTGAACTGCCAACCTCGTGGTTTAAACCGACCTTGCAGTCCAGTGCTGCATCCCACCGCATCACACCAGGACTCGTCATTAATGACAAATTGAAGAAACAATAACATAATGGCACGGGTGGAAAGATCCAGTCTACTATCCCCTTTGTTCAAGGAAATCTGTTAAATATGTATGAAGAAACTTATAAACCCAAGCAAGTTTTTTTTTTTTTTTTTTGGTCTATCACATCTTTCATAATTATTTCTATGACTCGGAAACAAAAACATACAAACTTCAATATTGTTATAAGCGTTAATTATTTTGAGTAATTGGTAAGACAATTACTGGTAGAATTGCAACCCCAAGTCAGGAAATTAGAAAAAGTAAAGATTATGTGTGACTGTGGGCAAGGTAATTAATTAATAGCAGCTAAGGGAGCAAGTGGAATCCTGGTGTGGTGCTGTGGGCTAATGCGTCAGACTGCAAAGTCTTTTGAACTGCATCATTGGTGGTTCAAGCTCCTCAGCTGCTCCTTGGTGACTTTATACAGGGTCGCTATGGGTCGGAATCGACTCGACGGCACTTAACAACTTGGGAGCAAGTAACACTTTTAAAGTCAGATTTCCTGTATTTTCCAGTTATCTTCTGCATCCTTTCCAGCAGCAAAATTGTGTGTACATGATGTAATTCTAAAGATTTTAATTGTCCCTGCTGAAGAATAAAAAGCACCAATTTTTTAAAAAATCGTTGTTTTTTTATCTGACATTTGCAACTGCTTACTGTATTAAAACCACCAAGATAAAAGGAAGGCCAACAATAATTGTTACAGCAATTACTAACGATTTATTTTTAAGTGTAATGGATTTTTCTTTTCTTTTTTCCCCCCCTTGTATCTACTGTAACAATGAAAATGCAGTAGACACATTGTTGAATTATTTGTGATTTACAGATTTCCATTTATCCAGTACATCGAGGGAGACTAACTGGTGGAGACTTTAGCGCACGCATGCAAAGCACATTCGACCTCTTTCCTTTTTATCCTTTGCAAAGTGAAACAGACTAGACGTGTGCATGTAAAACGAGTGACGTCAGCCCCCACTGGGTCGCGTGACCGACACCCAACCTTTCTACTTCCCAGCCCTGGCTGCCTCCGTTAGAGCGGCAAATCTCGCGAGAACGCGCTTTACTATCAGAACTTACTGAGGTTACAGGGAGTTACTCAGAAGAGAAGGGAAGGTGTGGCTGGGTGGTGGAGTTTTTGCTTTCATTCTGTTAACATTCATGACTGAAGAAAGGCCTTTGGGGATTGCCAGGGTTTGTGTACCTAGACCGAAACAAACGGCTGGGAAGGTGGAGAGTGAGGATGCAGTCCAATCAGCAGTGAAACGTGGCACACCGGCCGGTGTCGCCCCTCACTAGCGGGTTTCAGGGGGAGGGAGAATGCCCGCGCCCGGCGCCTTGGAGCTGGCGGCTCGGCGAATGAGTCTTCCGCTGGGGTGGGAGCTGACCCTGGCTGGCAAGCTGTGGGAAGCTGGGAACCTTCTCTGGAAGCAGCCAGCTGCCCACATCCGGCCCCTGCTTTGTATGAACCCTGAGCGACACTGAGATCCAGTGGTTGCGCCCCTCGCCCTCTCACCCGGGGAACCGCAGCCCGGAGTTGGCCTAGAGCTGCCCCCCAGTGCCCCGGCGACCAAAATAGGCTGGGGGACCTTCGTGGCCCCCGGAGGCTGCCCCAAACAGTTCACGAATTACTCCGCACTCTCCTGCTGTCAGTCCCAGTTCAGGGCAGTAGCCTTTCTGCGGGTAATTTTTACATCTCGTCTCATTCACCGAAGCCCTCTCCAGCTATCTACCCTACACACCCTCCACCCACCTGGACTCTTCCCTAGAAGGGTGTGCGCGTGTGTATGAGAACGAGGGAGGGCGAGCGCTCCACGAAGGGAGAAGGCTGGAGTCGCTAGAGGGAGGTGTGGGACTAGGGAGGAGGGGGCTTCAGAAGGGAGGGGATGCCGGTAGAAGAGGGAGCGGCGGGAGGCGGAGGCCTGCAGACAGCAGGCAGTGCTTAGCCTGAACCAAGCGCTCTTCCTCTCTCCGCTGGGTGTCTAGGCTGCTAAGGCTCGTTTGGGAGTGCGAGGCCACCGAGTGCCGGGTCCATCCAGTGCGGCCGCTGACCGCAGCAGTGAGGCCAAGCTCTCGCGCCTACTTTCTCTCGAGCCTCTGCGCACCGCGCGGCTGCTGACAGCTGCGGCTGGGCTCCAGCAGTCGGCTCCCGGCTACGCTGGCTCCGAGGACTCCGCTGCCTCGGCCCCTTAGCACTCCGCCCCCGCCCCTTCGGGTTCCCTCCCCTCAGCTCTACCCCTCCTAGCCGTGGTGCGGAACGTTTCGCAACTGCTAGCCTCTCTCCGGGTGCCTGGCTCTTTTTCCATTTTCCGGGCCCCTCTTCTTGAGTACTTTGCCCTTTGCATTTGGGGAGAGGGGCTGGAAAGGGGTCGGGTGGTGTGTTACAGAGAAGAAGGAAGCGAGGCCCAGAGGAGTAGTAGGATCGGCAGACCGTGGGGAAGAGACCCTCACGGCTCTTTCTGGTCATCTTCCTGGCCGCCCCGCCCCTGCGCACACTCCCTCCTGGGCGAGCTACTTTCGGACCAGAAAAGTGAGGGCGGCCCTAGGTGACAGCGCTGCGGGGCCAGTCCCGGGGAAGCAGCGCGTCTGTTCGCGTCTCGTCCACTACACTTCCAGCTAGGGGCACAGCCCGGACTGAGGATGGCATCGACCACAACCTGCACCAGGTTCACGGACGAGTATCAGCTTTTCGAGGAGCTCGGAAAGTAAGCGCCTTTGCCCGGCATCACACGTCCCCTTTCCAGCAGAGGGCGGATCGCATAGTCCCCAACCCACTGGCCTCCGCCATGGGGCGAGGGAGTTTGGGGGGACCAGGGAAGAGGGAGGAGAACCCTTGGATCGTCAGCTCTAGCTGACTTAGGAAGGGGCGAGGGCAGAAAAAGACCCTCATTTTGACTGCGACCCAGCCTCCTAGTCCAGAGCCAACCTTCCTCCTCGTCCCACCCTGTTTCACCGAAAGACTTTGTGAATTTACGATCTCTGCAGTTGTAGCTGTCATCCAGAGAAGTGTGTGTGTGCTTGTGTGTATGTGTGTGCCCGCGCTTGAGCGCGCGCGCGTGTGTAGAAGAAAACAGAATCCATGTAAAATGCAACATAGATCGTGTTTTCTGTAAATAGAGATGCCTCAGTGTTAGCCAGCGTGTAGGCGGTATGACCCACGTACGGTTGAGAACTTACGGCCACAGAAGGTGCCATATTTATTGATGCCGAAAGTTCAACTTGGCTTAGAGTCTATTTTGCATCTAGCACTTCTGTCCAGGAAAAGGCTACCCATTGGAACCCAATCCCCTGCCCCATGTCCACTAATATTCTTTGCCCTGCATTACTCGCACTCCATCATCCTTTGAGTTCTCTTGAAGGATTTATTTAAGCAGGCAGAGGAAAAGCCCTCTGGTGACCAGGAAAGCACTTCCCAAAGGTAGTCTAGCTTTGTGTAAAAGGATTTCCTACACCGGAGTGGCAGAACTACTTGGTTGTGTTAAGGAAGGGGGCAGGAGACCTTCTGAGGACCTGTGTCTTTAAAGGGACATAGAGGCCCTGCCATCAATGTGGATTTAATGTAGCATCAAACCCAGTTCCCGTATTACTTATGAAAGGGATGCTTATGTGTATGTTACTGTCTTATACAGTTGAATTTAAGGAAATGTAAATTTCTTTTCATTACAATGAATACTGTGCCCTTATTTATTGTCTGCTGTTAAAACATGGAGAATATGTCGGAAGAGCAGCTTAATTCAAATCTCTCCCCTCCCCCAGCCCAAAACAGGACATAGAGAAGTCACCATACCAACTACACAAATGTGCTCAAGCTTAATATTGTAATGAAAACAATCACCATATTTATTTACTTGTAGCCACATTATTATTATTATTATTTTGCTACCTAATAAATAGGCAACAGATTTTTGCTGTTCCTCCTCAGCTCAGTTCTTTGCAGGATTTTCTCAGCATTTGGTGTTGTGTGAGCGTGAATTGTAAAATGTTTTCATATTCCATGTGCAAACAAGAGTCCTCACAATTGGCAGTTCCTTTCATTTTGTTGATTAATTATGTGGACTCCTACTTAAATAAAATTTACTTTTTCCTTCAACATTAAAAAATATCTGGGTTTCCAGGAGGAAATTTTCATATTGTGGATACAACCGTAAGGCACTGGTATTTGACAGTCCACTAAAATCAATAAAATGCTCAGATTGTTGTATTATTATTAATTTTTTGGTAGCGTATCAGAGCTGATTGTATTGATGATTTGTTAATTATTGGTTTTCAGGGGGGCATTCTCAGTGGTGAGAAGATGTATGAAAATCCCTTCCGGACAGGAATACGCTGCCAAAATTATCAACACCAAAAAGCTTTCTGCTAGGGGTGGGTATTTTCAACCACATATATATGTTAATTTTCAATTTGTCCTGTTGATTATTGGTTCTCTTGTATGTAAATATATCATATAGTTATAATAGAATTGTAGATTTAGGTATCATATTACATACTGGGTTTTTTCCTTCCTGAATGATTCTTGGTTTGGACACTTTAAAAATAAATAAACAAATATAATTGTTATTATTTAATAAATTATTATGAAAAGTCTACCTGTCCTGTGAGCAGTAGCATAAAGCTTATAAAGCTTGTAAAGCTTGTAAAAGGCATTTTGCCTCCAGTCCAAGTATAGAATAACTTTCAGAAGGACCCTGGAATGAAAAAATGTGTTTCACAGTTGTCATAATTCTCTTTTGCTATTGAAAGAAAAAATAGGTCATAGCTCATTGAATCATATATTTCAATTGTAGTTACACTTGAACTTAATTCACCAAGCCATATTTAACAGTAACAGTAAATTATGATTGCTATATTCTAGGAAGTTTGGCTTGATTTTGGTGTTTTTGTGTGCAGCTCAGATCTTTACTTGGTCTTCTTCATGAAGGCATTAAGTCTCGTCACAGTCATGTAATGTGTTTTACACATGCAGTTTATAGCCAGAGAGATAATTCATACTCATAAAATAGCTGTTGACACAAGCTAAAAAAAGAAAAAACTTGGAGAAACCTCACTGAGATCTTTTTATTTTGTCAAACTCCTGTGAAAACACTTACAATCAAAGGCAATCCCATTATTGTGTGCATGTGTCTATGGTAATTCCAAGGGAATTATGTTTTAACAAAGTAAAAATGAAATTAAAGTGAACAAATTACCATAGTGTAAGCCCATTTTAGTGACCTGATTTATTTTAAGTAATGAGAGAACAAATTCCATTAGGGTTAGTTTTCCTTATTTTACTTGATTCTGAAAAGTGCTGTTTTGGTCATTATCCTTAGTCTCGGCTGTGATTAGTACAAATTCTATTAACTTGTACTTTGAATTTAGGTAGCTGTTTCTGTTTATTCACTTGGATGGGACTTTGTTGTAATTCGTTTAATCTGATTTTAATATGCTTCTGCAGAAGATCTTTATGGTAAATTTACCTGCACTGTAGAATCCTGCTATGATAATTGAGAATCATTGTGTGCTCCATTGTGTTGTTTTCTTCTCCTCTTCATTTTTTCTCCACTGGAAGGTTTTAACAATGAAGAATGGCTAAAGTGTAAATGCCATTTTAGTTTTTGAAAACATGGAAGAAAAACATAAATGTGCAGTTAAATTGTTTCAGTGCAGGCACTTTTGACAAGAATGGGGAATATCAGTTTTGTTTTGTTTTGCTGGGGGGGAGGGGGGGCGGCATTTCAGTACCTTTCCTAAATCATTTTTTAAAACTTTTTATTGTGAATTGACTGAAGGTTTACAAGTAGATCATCAGATTTACATTCAACAGATCATAAACCTCATTTTATCTCAATTGCAATCTCCTCAATGTCACATCACTACCCCACTTCCCTGTGGCTCTTGTTTCATTTTCACCTTCTTTCCCAACCCTTCTGAACTTTGTCCTTGGGTAAATGCTGCCCTTTTGAACTTGAATGGCTGTCCATTCATTGGTGTGTGTGCCTCTCCCTATATAGCTATCTATTGTTGAGCTGAACATTGAGCCCCAGGAGTGACGTTCCAGACTTGAATCATAACCAAGGGCCATTTTTTCAGGATTTCATCAGTTTCTGTCTGGACCAGTAAGCCTAGTCATTTTTATAATCTTGAGTTTTGTTCCACAGTTTCTCCCACTCTGTTCAGGACTTTCTATTGCGATCCCTTTTAGAACAGTTGGTAGTGGTATCTGAGTACCTACCATCTAGTTCTTCTGATATCAGGGTCTTGGAGACTAATGTTCAGATGATCCTTTAGTTGTTTCAAAGCATCATCAGTTTTCATCAATCTTCTTTCCTCTGGATAGAGACAAATATTTGTGCCTTAGATGACTGCTCATGAGCTTTTAAGTCACTAAGTAGAATATAAAATGCTGTTTTTGTGGACTATCTTATGCCAATTTGGTATGGAGCTGTGGGGTAATGCCCTGAACTGCAAGGTCGGTTTGAACCTCAAGGTTAGTGCTTCAAGCTCACCAGTCACTCCTCAGAAACCCTAAACAGGGTCATTATGAGTTGGAACTGACTTGATGGCATTTAACAACAACAACAACACCTGAGACTATGGTCTTGAACCCCCAGACTCAGTGACTCTTTCCCTCAAGGTGTTTGATAATACCTAAGAAGTTTTCATAACTTTGTCCCACCACATTTATGGATGGATATTTTTGTAATAGATTGCAAATATCCTCGGTCAAATATGTTGTTTTAGGTGCCATGGAGTCAGCACTCACTCATAGCGATCTTATGCACAGCAGAACAAAACAATG